AAAAAAAAAAAAATCTGTTAAATTTTTAGTAACAAAGGTGGTATTACCTTCCTTAGTAAATAAATACAATATATTTAAGATGAATATATTTTATTTAAAAGCCTTAAAAAAAAAAAATCAAAAAAAAAATCAAAAATCAAAAAAAAATCAAAAAAAAAAAAGACAAGCAAATTTAACTCTCTCACAGAAACAGATCAATTCGAATTCGAATTGATAAATAAAGAACCCCTAGTTCCCCTAATAAAGAAACCTCCATGAGCGATGAAATCGCATCCATGTTCTCAGATAACACAAGCCCACAAAAAAATACAAATAAACCAAAAAAAAGAGCAAATAATCCACAAAAAACCTAGATTAAACATATACAAAACCGAGCACCTGTCAGAGATTACTTTAATAAACTCGACGATGGAAGTAATGAATGCAAAGTATGTGAACAAGCATTCGGAAAGCAGACCACAATATCAACCATTAATTGGCATTTTGAAGCTTTCCACTCTTCTGAATACACTATAATCAAACAGCGTAAATATCAATAACTCGATTCTTATGGCCCTAATAAAAAATATAAAGTGGATAATTTAAATGATAAATTTTTAAAATGGGTGGTCGTCGACCAACAATCATTTTTATTATCCGAAAATACAGAATTTATTAAATTTTTGCAAGAACTTGATCCCCGTTACCATCTCTCCTGTCGCCAAACACTCTCAACTTGGGTTGGTCAAAAGTATAATAAAAAAAAGATAAAATTAAATTTTTTTTAAATAAAATACAATCAAAAATTTCAATTACAATGGATGGTTGGATGTTATGTACCCAGCAGCCCTATATTGGTATAACCGCACACTGGGTGGATTTTGAGTGAAAAATGCATTGTATCTTACTTGACATGATCCCGTTTAACAAAACTCACTTTGCAAACAACCAGGCCAACACGATTATTAAACTTCTAAAAGAAATGAGCATCGGCGAAAAACTTCTAGGGATCATGACTGATAATGCTGCCAATATGCTTGCGATGGGGCGTGTTCTAAAAGAAAAAATAAACAATGAGTTTAGCAATCCAAATGTACAACATATCTGTTGTGGCACCCACGTTCTCAATATCATTGTAGAAGAAGGAATGAAATCAATAAGCAAAGAAATTTCTAAGGCAAGAGATTTCTCTAAGAAAATTCGAAACTCTCCGTCACTAATTCAAGAATTAAAAAAAATTTTTGATTTGAAAAATATTCCATTTCTAATGCCCGAAATTGATGTGGACACAAGATGGAATAGCATGTATATAATATTAGAAAAACTTCAACGAATCCGTCTCATAACTGATATCTTTGTAGCGAGCAACCAAACTTTAAACCCAAATTATCCTACTGAATGCGAATGGAAAATTATTTTTGTTAGTAATTTTAATTTTTTTTTAATTGTAAAATATATTTGCTTTAATTATAAGCTAATATTTTATAGGACCTGCTAATTCTTCTTGAGCCCAT